TTTTTGTTGTTGTTGCTGTTAGCTAGCCCGCCCCCCCCATGGTGACACCATGCATGATGGAATGAAATGCTGCCCGATCCTGTGCCAGTCCTATGATTGACTGGAGATGACTGTTGTGAGCCATAAGGGTTTTACTTGCTGATTTTTCAGAAGTAAATGGTCAGGACTTTCTTTCTAGTCCATCTTAGTCTGGAAGTTCTGTTGAAACCTGTTGATTATCATAGCAACATGCAAGGCAACACTTCAACACCTTATCATCTATTTGGGAAATGCTATTTTGGTTTCTAAAATGCCCTGGTGGCACATGGTTAAATATAAGGTTAGTGATTCAAACTCATGAGCCGCTCCGCAGTAGAAAGATGAAGCAGTCTGTTCCATAAAGCTTAGTCTTGGAAACCCACAGGGCAGTTCTACTTCGTCCAATAAGTTTGCTGATATGGAGTAGACTTGATGGCAATAGGTTTCTTTAAAAAATGTTTACACTGGTTTTATAATATGTCTCTTTTTAAAATATATTTGGTGGTGGTTATGTACTATGGAGTCAGTCCCAACTCAGAGCAACTATAAATCTTTATGGGAGCAGAAAGCCTCATCTTTCTCCTGGGGAACAGCTGGTAGATTTGAACTGCTGACCTTGCAGTTAAAAATGACTAAAGAGAAACACTGCCATAAGTCAACAACGGCAGATTCTGTTCCTGACAGTGGCACCAAGAGATGTGCTCTAGCTGAACAAAGCCTACATCCCCATCCCCGTTGCCAAGCACCAGGAGGGCTCCAGGCTATGCAACCATTCAGATGGGTCAACGTTACAGCACCGTGCACTACAACTCTTCTAAATGTACTTTTCACTACTTGTGCCATTATTTTAAATGAAAATATAACATCTCTGAATGCAATGTGTTAATTTTTAAAATGAGGTATTACAATTAAATACATATGCTGTTGTTGTTGTTAAGTGTTGTCGAGTCGATTCCGACCCATAGTGACCCTGTACAGAGTTTCCGAGGCTGTAAATCTTTACAGGAGCAGAAAGCCTCATCTTTCTCCCACAGAACAGCTGGTAGTTTCGAACAGCTGACCTTAAGGTTCGCAGCCTGATTCGTAACCATTACACTACCAGGTATCCTTTAAATATATATAGCCTTTTGTAAATACCCACGCCTCCATTTTTATTTTGAAAAATTTCCAATTTAGAAACATTCTAAGGATACTAATAAGGGAATTACTGAAACCCTAATATGCTACCGGTGATAGTCTGGCAGTTCTTTAAAACAGGTTAAACAGTTACCATAATATTCAGCAATTCTATTTCCAGGTATATACCCATATACCTTGTGTGTTTTACTTACACAAAAACTTGTTCAGACATTAATGTTCATAGCAGAATTATTCATAATAGCCCAAGTGCAAATAGCTCAAATGTCCATCAATGGATGGATGAACAAAATGTGGTATATACTGGAATTCATGCAATGGAATATTATTCAGCTTTCCAAAAGAATGAGGAATTCATACATATGCCAACATGAACGAACTGCGGGAAATATTATGTGGCACTATAGGATCTTGGCGTGGCACTGGATAGGCATTGGGGTGTGAACCACAAGGTCTGGTGGTTCAGAGCCACAAGCTACTCCTCAGAAACCTTATATAGTGTCGCTGAGTCAGAACTGACTCAACAGCACTTAACATAGGATAAGCACCTGGTATGGCGCAGTAGGATAAGCACTGTACTGCAAACCACATGGTCATCAGTTCAAACCCACCAGCTGCCCCTTGGAAACCCTTTACAGGGTTGCTGAGTCAGAATCAACTGGATGGCACTTAACATGGATTAAGCACTGGACTACTGACCACAAGGGAGTTGAAACCACCGTTGTTCCTCAGAAACCCTATACAGGGTCACTATGATTTGGAATTGACTTGACAACACTTAATCTTATAGGGAAAGAAGTCAGATACCATGGGCCAGATATGTTAGGATTCCATATATATAAAAGTCTGGAGAACCCTCCGAGGGTGGGGCTGGGGTGCCCACTAGCTCAGGCACCTCTATAGTCACCAGAATGGAGGTGTGCAGACAGCAAGGGACCAATGAATAGATACCAAAAGGAAGGAATGTCCGCACTTTTGTCTCCGCAGTTCTGTCAGGCATCTGTGCTGCTCCAATCCTTCCCCAGCTTGGTCTCACCCAAGATGGCGGCTTCTGGAGCAGCTGAGCATCCGAAACTAATAATACCCACTTGACCTGACTTCAACCAGAAGAAGAAGAGGGAAAAAAAAAAAGAGTAATCTGATGCAATTTGATGAACTTGACCTACACCTATGGATGCAGTAGCTCAAAAGAGGGAACAAATCCTTACAACAGGAATCATTCCCACCCCCTCCACACAGAGTAGACAGGGATGGGCAACTTGAACATTGGCTACCCAAAATGGGGGGAGGGGGGGCTACAAAGGCAAGAAGTGACTGGCTTACAAAAGCTTTCAAGAGGGAACCTAGAGCCAGAGGACCTGGAGGAAGGTAGAATCTCCAGTGAGTTGTATCCAGTCTATCTAGGAGGAGCTGATGAAATGAAATGCAGATGGGTCTCTTGTGATACAATAGTGAATAATTGTTATCAGGACTGATTGTGAGGGTTGGAAATGAAAAGGTTGATGTTTTATAGCAAGGAAGGGAGTGATTAACTTTCCAGTCTAGGAGCGGAGTTCCCTGGGACCATCAAGGCAGAAGAGCGGAGAGCGGGACTTACCCAAAGAAGCAGTGATGCCTGAGATGGAGGCAGAGATGATGACGTGGAGCAATGGAGCAGCTGGGGACTTTAGATCCAGAGAGGAAGAGCCACTGTGTGCTGAAGACTGGGGGTGGTGGGTGTAGTGTACGGTGCAGGCTTGCAGGGTATACCCTTTGGTTGGTTGATGATGCATGGAGGGGATTGGAACCATGGCAATGAAACGATATACGATAGAATGAATGTAAAACTAATGTTCTCCCATGTAAACTATCATATAATTCACAATAAATTCCTGTTCTTCAAAAAAAAAGTTTATTAAAGGCAAATCCAGAGAGACTGAAAGTACTTTAGTGGTTGTCAGGGACTGCAGAGAGGGGAAAATATGATTACTAATGTGTATGGATCTGTCTTTTTGAGGTGATGTAAATGTTGTTGGAGTCCTGGTGTGGCACTGTGGATTAATGCATTGAATTGAGAAGTCAGTTTGAACAGAAAGGTCAGCAATATAAGCTCACTAACTGCTCCTCGGAAACCCTGTACAGTGTCGCTATGTTTTGGAACCTACTTGAAGGTACTTAACAACAACAAAATATTCTGTTATTTAGTAGTGGTAATGGTTGCACAACTATGAGTATACCAAAACCCACTAACTTGCATACTTTCAAAGGGTGAATTATCTAACTAAAGCTATCGCAAATGCTTTGTTCACCTACATTCACCAACTAATGAACATTTTGTTATATTGGCTTTCTCTTTTTCTCCTACGTACACTGGATTTTCTTGGTAGAGCAATTGAGATTTAGTTGCTGATACACTGACACTTAAATAGTTCAACATGAGACCCTTCTCTCATATAGCCAAAACACAAACAACACTCAGGAAATTTCAGTCCAATAAAAACTAGTATAAAAACAAAACAACAACAAACAAAACTAGTACACTTTTTTTTAGTTTTTGTCAAGAACTATGCATTGCATTTGGTTGTCATTTCCCTTTTGCTGTTAGAGGATCTCAAGTCAGTTTGGCCTCATAGATATGCCAACAGAATGAAAAACTGCCTGGTCCAGACTCATGCTCACAATCGTTGCTAAATTTCAGTTCATTGTTGCTGTTACTGTGTCAATCCAGTAATCTACAAAAATTCCACCGTTTTGGTTCTTTTTTTTTTTTTTCATGACACTGACAATGTTGAAGAGTACAGCCCAATTATTTCACAAAATGTCCCTCAATTTGAATATGCCTGGTTGTTTCCTTTATGAACTGATTTTGGCAGGCATGCTGCATAGGTGACTTGTCTTTCGTAAGTATTAAGCCACAGCATACCTGAGTTTGTTTTTTTAGTGGTGATAGTTAGGTGTTCACTGTTGCTCTTGGTTAAGGTGGTGACTCCGAGATTCCTCAATTATAAATATAGCCTTTCCCCTTTGTAATTAATGTGCTGTGGGGTGAACACTCAAGTCTGGAAATATCCTGTTTCCCCAACAGTCTTTCACCCAAAAGTTTTTGCAGCCATCCACGGTCAGTGCCTGGTATTCGATCTCTTTTGAGACTGTTTTGCATTCATGTGACCAATTTTTGCTATCAGACTTTTCCAAAGAATGATAGAGGTTTTCAACCCTGGTTGCATGTTAGAATCAACAATCTCTTGGGGTGGGAAAAGGCCGTATCTTTAATTCTCGATATGACTGACTTGATGTACAAGAGTTGAGATTCACCCAGCTGTAAGAATCTATTCATTTTGCAAATAAGGAAATCGAATCCCGAGGAGGTTGAAACTGACACAGAACTTAACGGAACAGTTAAGGGTTTATTTTTAGACTTTCATTTTAATTCACCACTTCTTTTGTATGCATTTCAAAGTACAAAACCAGAAAAATGAGTGACTTGTATATGGTGTTAGGGCTGACCACGACCTGAGGTTATTTTTGCCGTTCATTCATTACTCTTTTGAAGTCATTTTGAGAGGGGTGGGAAAGGGGAATTTGTTCATTGAGGGTCTCCGCCTTCAGAGATTGCTGGAATTTGGGGCCCAAGGCAGTAGGATCTTCCAAGGACAAGATGGTAGGGCTGCAGGCCCGGCTCTGGCCTGCTTGCCTCGCAAACTTGGTGGCACCTCAGTCGGAGGCTCCACGCAGGGTGGCCGGCCGCGCAGGGGACGCACCTGACGGGATGCACCTAGAGGCGCAAGCCAGCCCCGCCCAGAACACTCTGAAGAGCAAGGGGCGTAGGAGACGACGCGGCCTACAGGTCCGCCCACTCTACTTACCCCGGCGTGATAAACCTTGTTGGCTCTTTTAATCTTGATGTCCAGGGAGGTCCCCATCTCTGGTTCTCCGCAGTGCGCGCCACTTCCTGTCGCACGTGACCAAAGGCAGGCCCGCCCCTTATCCCGAGACCGACGTCTTTTCCACCGTTCTCGGCTGGTAGCTACATCATGTGACCTTCCGATTTACGCCGGATCAAATTTCCCCTCCCGGGGGAACAGTGTGCCTCACGCCTTTCTCTTTCCGGCGCAGAGGCGGGCCTTAAGCCAACCGAGAGGTTGTCACCCTTCGCCCCGCCTGTATCCGACGAAGGGGCGGGACCAGGCTAGCCCCACCCCTTTCGTAAGGCCCGTTTTCCCGACAGAAATACATTTCTTTTCCCTATTTGAAGGGTGGTGGTTGTTATGCGGAGTCGGCTCCGACTCATAGAGACCCTGCGTCGGGTTTCCGAGGCTGTAAATCTTTACGGAAGCAGACAGCCTCAGCTTTCTCCCGCGGAATAGCCCGTAGTTTCGAACTGCTGACCGTTAGATTAGCAGCTCTATAGTAACCACTACGCTACCAGAGGGGAGGAGGGGATAAATCATTGGCCTTTCCGTCCTGCCCCGCATTGGGAGGGGGAAAGGGCGGCATTGAGGCCATCTCTCAGGCGCAGCCGGCGCAGGAAAACCTAGGTTCCCGTCAGGCTGTGCGGCGCAATACGCAGTTGCGCCATGGCGTCTTTAAGGGCGTTATGAAGCCAGGCTTTCGTCCCCCCACTGGTAAGTGCGGGTGGAGCGCCCCTCAGAACACATTCCTTCTGTAAATCGCATTCCCCTCGAACCATCCCTCACTTTTCCTGGGGTTCTGAATTGCGGGCGCTTCCGATCCCAGCTCTTCCAACGGGAGCAGTTCTGCTCATCCGCACCACGTGTTCCCCCACGCGCCCATCCCGCAATCCGCTGATTGGTGGAGGCTCGGTAGTCCCGCCCTTTGCCGTCCAGGCCTGCAGCCAAGGTCTCTAGGAGTGCCTAGTGACCTCGCTCAGGTCGGATCAGCGCCACTGGGAGGATTGTGGGTTTCTCCAGGAGTGCGTCTCAAGAGGAACTGTTAAATACTCATATCCGTGTATTTAGCCCGGAAACCGGGCAGGGTCCACTTTTGGACCCTGCGCTTTATACACTGGTTGAAAAAGATAAACCCAAAGCCATAATTGACCTGCCTTATTCTCCGCCCCCTCCCCCCCCTCCCCGCGCAATAACTGAATAAATGACGAGATAGATCGAGATTGGCTTCTTTGGGGGTACTCCCACTAATCTGGGCCGGTAATGGAACGTTAAGCAACACAGTATATTTATCTATGAAACACTTTACAAATGTTTTTAATCAAAGGACTTTTCCAGTAAGCCGAAAGAAGTATTTTGTTAACTGATTTAAATAAATCAGTGAAGAAGTGCTTTTTTTCGTGTTTTTTTCCTGATGCTTGTATATTTATTTATTTATATTTACATATGTATATATATATATATGTATATATATATACACACACATATATATGCATTACTTTTACGATAATGTCAAATTATTGCGGCAGCGCGAGTCAGAAAGAACTCAACTCAGAAAACTTAAAGAGAAAAGTGTATTGCCGGTGGCCAGAGTGTCAGCTTAAGCCCAAATCACTCTGACCCCAAAAGTGAGGAAGGGAACAGGATTTTATACAAGAAATACAGAGCAGTTAGAACACACAGACTTGTCTTGTCAGCTGAGGTGGTAAATTTCAGCAGATCCTTATCCTATAAGTGGGAGTAAACCCACCAATAAACCCTTATCTTGGTTGTATGGATGGGCCAAGTTTTATCCTGTTTGTTCAGGTGTCCTTGGGTCATTCTGGCCTTCAAGGTTTTTCTGTAAGAAGTTTATTATTTTTCCATAGGGTGAGGGTGGGGGGATGGGGAGAGCAGGGTGAACTCTGTTATAATATTTCAAATGGCATATGGGGCTGTTAGTTATAATATTTCAAATGGGGGTTGTGAGTTATACTATAATATTTCAAATGGGGGGTATGTAACAAAATTTTCTGTAAATCGATTTTATGAAAATTAGTATCACGAAAACCTTCCTTCTGAGAATTTAAGTTGGCTTTTTAAATAGGATTACAGTTCAAACTCACCAGCCATTTCTAGGAAACCCTATACAGGATGTCTATTACAGGGATCCTGGTGTGGTGTTGTGGGTTAATGCGCTGGACTGCAATGTCGGTTTGAACTGCAAGGTCAATGGTTCAAGATCACCAGCCACTCCTCAGAAACCCTATACAGTGCCCCTATAGGCCTGAAAGACAACAATTACAATGGGTCCGAAAGGCACTTAACAACAACAACAGTGTGGTGCTATAGCTCCAATTGCTTGTTTTTGAAGGTGATAAATGTGGTGGTAGTTGTATGCCTTGGAGTCGATTTCGACTCATAGTGATCCTGCATAGGGTTTCCCAGGCTGTAAATCTTTACCAGAGCAGAAAGCCTCATCTTTCTCCCCCAGAACACTGGTAGTTTCTAACTGCTGGCCTTGAGGTTAGCAGCCCGACTAGTAACCACAACGCTATCAGAGCTCCTTGATAAATATGGTATCCCCCCAAGTTCAGGTTGCAGTTTTTCATCCTGGGGTGAGGGGCTTCCATCTCTGTGTGGGGTAACTTCCAGGCAACAATTGTAAAACAACAATTTAGGGACCTAATTACCACAGCCTAGTCTATTTGCAATTCAGGAAATGGATCCCTCTCCACTAAACTCACCATTTTCAACTGGTGTAAAATCAATCTTATAAACAATTGAGGCAGGGAAATGGGAAAAGAAACACAAGTTGACACGCTCTAGACTTGTTTATGTCATCAATCTTGCTTTGTACTTATTTTCCAACAGAGTGTTCTTCTCTAGAACAGGTGTGTCATTTTTTACTCATCTTTGTTGGCTGTACTCAGTCTTTTGAGAATGTTGGTGTAGTGCAAGGAGTTTTGGTTCCAGCAATTACCAATGTAATCACTTATTGAGCCCTGTTGATCTATGACTTCCAAACATAAAACAAATGCATGTGCAAGTTGAACAATGAATAAGAAAGTTGGAAAATGAATAAGGAAAAACAAAGTTCCAGCTACCAGAAAGACACAGCAAGGAAGAACCGCAACCCCCTTGCTCTTTTGAGTCTTTTCCATTCCTTAACCACATATTTGTTGTTTTTAAGTGCCATTGAGCCAGTTCAAACTCACAGCGACCTTATAAAGGGTTTCCAAGCCTTTTAAATCTTTGCAGGAGTAGAAAGCCTCATCTTACTTCTGGAACACCACATCTTAGGTGATGCCATAACTTTCTGCTCAAATTCTATTATTAAAACTTAGACCAAATGTCAGTTGTATGACTTGCGTGGGACCTGAGATTCTTGCTTGTAGGTGGTAGGTAGATTTCTTGGTGGCAAGTCGAGGTTCTGTGTCTCAGACTTACTTTAAATCCTGTTTTTAAGTCCTGGCTTCTCCTGTATATTGAGGCAAGGAAGAAGAGCTAGAATGAGGGAAGTACCTCTTAAGTGGTCGCTTTTGGAATTTTCTCTTAGTTGATCCCTGCTTCTTTAGGGGAGGGGTAACACAAGGAGCTCTGATAGCGTAGCGGTTCCGAATTGGACTACTAACCTCAGGGTCAGCAGTTTGAAACTACCAGCTGTTTTGCGGGAGAAAGAGGAGGCTTTCTGCTCCTGTAAAGATTTACAACCTGAGAAACCCTATACAGACTCGCTATGAGTAGGCACTGACTCCACGGCACACAACAATAACAACAACCCTAGTTTCAAGCTCCTTTCATAGGACACATATAGTTCCATGGGAGATCTGTCTCGAGTTTGACGTTTTCTACAACTCCATTGTCAGTACCTAGCAGTACTCTCAACCTTTTATGGTTCCAGCAAGACACAGGATGTATTTTCTACAGCATCTGCTTGATCTATGAGAAATACACATTCTTGCCACCCAAAAGGGCTGGGCTAGTGGCTGCCCCATGGCCACTCCATCCTGCTTCAATTTTCTTATTCCCTCCTGAAATGTAGACAGGGATAAATCCGCAAATATGGTCCTGGTGTGGCACAGTAGGGTAAGCACTGGACTGCTAAAAGCAAGGCTGGTAGTTCAAACGACCAACTGCTCCTCAGAAACTTTCTACAGAGTCTCTATGAGTCAGAACTGACTGGATGGAACTAAACAACAAAGATGGTGACTAAACAGATTTGCAAACAGAGAATGGAACTCCTCTTCTAATTGTTGTTAGTTGTTGTCCAATTACAACTCTGACTTATCACCACTTTTGTAAAACAATGAAATGTTCCCCATCCCTTTACCATCATCAGGATCTCAGTATGTTGGAGTCCGTTGCTGTCATTACTGTGTCAGTCCTTCCCATTGAGAATTTCCCTTATTTTCACTGATCCTCTACTTGATGTCCTTTTTAGTGACTGGTCTTTCCAGATGGTTCAAAGTACGTGAGTAGAAATTATCCTGTCATCCTTCTTCGAGGGGCATTCTGGTTACAGTACTTCTTAGATTGATTTTTTTGTTTGTTTTTTGTTTTTTTTTTCATTCTTTTGACAAACAAACAATAAAACAGTTCTGGGACAAGATGGCAGAGGAGACCCTCTGCAACAAAGACATGGGAAACCAAATGAAACAGATAGATGGTGATCCTGGATCCCTGAGCGTCAGAGGATAGGGCAGGGAGGTGGATTGAGTGCTGCCTGGAAGAGGAAACTGAACAAGAGCAGTGAGAGAGAAGAAAACTGGACTGCTGCCAGCTGGCATGGAGCAGCTGTTGTTGATGCAGTGGCCTCCAGGAACAGGGCGCGGCTGGAGGTTGCAGCCGTTTTTAAATTATCTTGAGTAAATTTTTACTTGCATGTGATAGTTATGATATTGTCTAATGATTTCTGCATTCCACTGAATTGCCTCTCTTTGGAATAGATACAAGTATGGATCTCTTCCAGCCAGTTGCCCAGGTAGCTCTCTTTTAAAATTCGTGGCATAGATTAAGTGCCTCCAACGCCCCATTAGTTTGTTGAAAGATTTCAATTTGTATTCCATCAATTCCCAG